GTGCTCAATACATCAATTGTAGAGTGATATAGAAATACCACTGTTAAAACACTGCTCAAATACATCAATAGTAGAGTGATATAGAAATACTACTGTTAAAACAGTGCTCAATACATCAATTGTAGAGTGATATAGAAATACCACTGTTAAAACAGTGCTCAATACATCAATTGTAGAGTGATATAGAAATACTACTTTTAAAACACTGCTCAATACATCAATTGTAGAGCGATATAGAAATACTACTGTTAAAATAGTGCTCAATACATCAATTGTAGAGTGATATAGAAATACCACTGTTAAAATAGTACTCAATACATCAATTGTAGAGTGATATAGAAATACCACTGTTAAAACACTGCTCAAATACATCAATAGTAGAGTGATATAGAAATACTACTGTTAAAACACTGCTCAATACATCAATTGTAGAGTGATATAGAAATACCACTGTTAAAACACTGCTCAAATACATCAATAGTAGAGTGATATAGAAATACTACTGTTAAAACACTGCTCAATACATCAATTGTAGAGTGATATAGAAATACTACTATTAAAATAGTACTCAATACATATTCAAAAAGAACCTAATAAAGCAGGATACAAAACGCATTGCTAGGCTACAGGATGCGTACCTCAATAGTTGGAGATTAAAAACAAGTAGGCTTGATGCTGTTGTTGCAAAATTTCCCTTAGTGTACACTGCCCATCTTTATTAGCCCAATCAGGTTCAGGAATAAACACGGAGTTTAGTAAAATTACATTTCAGTTCAATTCTGTAATATATTTTTCAGTTGAAAGTGAAGAGTGTGATAAAACAGAAATAATTGTTGGTCAACTTGGAAAGGAACTGGTGTTAAATTTTCCACTTTCTGATCTCAGAGACGAGTATAACAAATATATCACTGAACGTGATAGTGTAAAAAAGTTTAAAGAAAGTGAAACTACGATCCAGGATCTCAAAAATGACTCAGATATTCGGTTTAAAAATAAGATGGATTCTAAAAATGAAGAAATAATGTTTGAGGATGGTAATTCAACTCATCATTCAGCCAGTAGTGAAATCACCATAACTGATGACGCCTTCGTGGTCAATAAAACAGATCTACAAAAAGAAGATGCTGGAATATATTGGATCGATTTCAATGTAATTCATTTGGGACAGAAATCTTTGCTTATCGCAGGTTAGCCATTGCTTCAATCTAGGCCAATCCAAACATGTCATGTAGAACCCGTTTCTTGGTTTGTGAGATACCGAAACCCAACGTAGAGAGAAGTAACAAGCCCAGTTACAAAGTGGCATCAGGAAGAGTGAGTATTCTGTCTCACGAGCAAGACCCACCACAGTAGCCTAATCATCGCGATATCTAGGGCCTCACTTTGTTATCAATGCAATTTTTTAACATTGTTTTTTTCTAGGCAAACCCAAAATTAAGTGCCGGCCTCCACCAAATCCTGTAATGATAGCGGAAGACAGCCAAGCAACGAGCTTACAACTAGAATGTCACAGTGTTTCAACCAGTATAGGAGATTGTCAACTGGTCAATAACTCTATGTATATAATGTGGTATAAAAATGGAATGAGAATGACTGACTTAGATCCAACTTTATCTCAAATTAACGTGACTGTAGACCATAATGGTGGAAACTTTACGTGTCTGGCTACAGAATATCACCCTTGTTATCAAAGACTACAGACCACAAAACATTACGATGGTAAATATAGTAATAGCTTGTCTGAACATTTGATTTATGTTCAAATTACGGTGAGTTGAAATGAATCAAGTATGCACTTGATGCTGTTTCATAACTGTAATTGAAATGTTTTGTATAATTGCGAATATAATGCGCACCCTTTCCCATCCACGAGAGAACCCTTTGGATGTATATTCGCATCAATATTTAATTTATCAGTTGATAGTGCATACAGCTCCATATTAGTTAACCTATTTGCCGAATTTTGTTTAATTTTTCTTAAATTTTTTTTAGAAAATCCATGTTAAATTTTTGTTGTTGTTTTTGATTTTTTCAGTTTTGAATATTGAAGAGTGTAATAATGTCTTTGAGAGTGAAACCCTATTCATAAAAACTCAACGTAAGTTTCTTATTCTTATTTTAAGTTTATATTTGCTGCATAAAAGTCATCTCACTCTTCTGCTATGTTTGTGTATGTTCTTTTGTCTTGCAACCAATCTTCATTAAATACGTTATAGTTGTATTTTTACTAAATTTTCAGATGTACCTATTGATGTGAAACTAGATCCAGATCAAAGGGAGGTAACTGTAACTACAGGTGAGGATTTGGAAGTAAGGTGTTCAGCTAAGTGTTACCCAACGTGCCACATTACATGGGAAAAAGATTTTCAAGTTATTGATTCCAGTGATTCGATTAACATAACAGAGACAATGTTCGTAAAAGATTTGAAAATTGAAAACGTCAGTAGTTCTCATGAAGGTTTTTACGTCTGTATGGTCAACAACATTCATGGAAAAAACAAGAAGGGATTTACTCTTAGTGTTACATGTATGCTCTTATATATAACAGAATTTATCAGAATTTTATAAGATTTCGCCACTCAAGTGTCCTTGATATACACCCCAATTGGGCCCCACCCCTTTCTCTCTTTAAACCTTTTTTTTCAGAAACTAAGAAGAAAGAACTGATGTCTGTAGAGATGAATATAGTGATTTTTGCTATTAAATTTATTACTGGTTTTATAGTAGTTGTTATTGTTTTTGTTATTGCTGTTGGCTGTATGGTTATGATGTGTAAGAAATATCATAGTGAGTAAATTGCAGTTCATATAATAGGCCCATCAACAATATAGTCATCACAGTTTACTGTAGAATGTCATAATTGTAGTATAAAGGTTACCGTATAATTGCGAGTATACTGCGCAGGCTTGTATAATACGCACCACCTTAAATCATTGTGAGGCATAAAGGTATTTGGGTCAAACAAAGGGGACGTAACTTGTTAGCAAAATGGACAGGATACACTGTTTTAATTCTAACAATATAATACCTGAAAGCATGTTTGTTATTTTTCAGAAAAGAAAAATCATCATCATAATCTGGTTTTAGAAGGTTTGTTCGATTTTATGCTTTATTTAAGTAACCAAACAAATTGCGGCATTTCTTTAATAAATATGAAACAGGGTCCGTGGCGTTTGAAGTACAGTGGGATCGAAAAATCAGGTCTAATGATTTGGTGGTTGATTACCAGTCACGTCCAATTGGAGCCCGAAAATATTGTCAAAGTAATTTGTGAACTTTAACGGTGTAATTTTTGTTACATTACAGAAGGTATTTATGACACAATCGATGAATCGTTAATTGGAACGTCCAGAAACGATAATTCTAGAAATGGTGAACAAAACATGGTTAGTATACTTGATGTTAAACTAATTTTCCCAGGTTTGATCCTGTCCTTGTTGATTGTTTCTAAGAAACTGTCCACATTAAAATGTGTTCAAGCATAAATATAACAAATTTAATCCTTTGGGTTCCAATTGAAATGAGTATGATAAGATAAGGGCACAATAAAAGATTGGAGAAGGAACCAGGCCATTTGGATATTGCTTTATAATCATGGAGAATGGGATCTACCTTTAAGATTATTATTTTTTTTTTTTTGCCAATAAAGTAAACGTTTAGTTTCTACTACTTTTCAGTATTCTGATGTATTTTTGTTTCAGGATTCAGATATATATGATTTATTAGAATTCAATACATTGGATGGTCAAAGGTCTGATCCTGAAGTATAGTAGACATTCTAAGAAACACCACCGATACCTAAAGTTATGGCACAATTATGCTTGTTATCCTGTACATCTGGTGCCCAGTGGCGTTTCTGTGAAGGCACGGTAGAATTGGCCCCCGCACTTTCAAATTTTTTATCATTCTATATAGTGGAAGAATGGCCTGTGGTCCCCCCCGCCCCACCCCCTGGAAAATTTTGTGGCCCCTGCCCGACCCCTCACCTGATGCACTCTAGAAATATCACTACTGGTGCCACTTTGTGACGGGGTTTATCAACACTGTATTTCTTTTGGAGAATGGATAGAACACAAAAGAAGAAGAAAAAGGATTCCTTCAGATCATGGATTGTGAGTGACGTAACCCATAGAAACAAAGCACTGAGTTTATTTAGAATATTTGGTTTTGATCCATTTTTAAGCTTTATTGCGAACCTAGTCTGCTATCTTATCTTATCTTATCTTATCTTGGACTGTCCATCGTTCCAGTCTACCTAGCTGTAGATGGGTAGGACATAGATCATTATCAATCATTCCAGTTCATTACTTCAGAATAGAATTTCTTTGATCATTTTTCAATCATTCATATTTTACCGTTGTTATGTTTTTGATTTAATTTTCATATATTATTAAGCGGTGCTTAAAGTAAATTTTATCAATTCAATTTGTGGCTTTGTTTTTTTCTCACTCTTTGACAAGATTATGACGTCACTATCACAAATACCCTTTAGCTAGAACATATAGTTGAGGGAGGCCTCTTTTTTAATGTCAGTCCCTTCAGCTACTATATTCTGACTAAGTCTACGACGGATATTGTTGGTAAATTTGAAGCATATTTTGTGTCTGATTTTGATGTTAAATTATCAGATTTTAGGATGAACTATGAATTCGGTGAATTGGAGCTAACTTTACCCTCCTTGCCTTCCAGGATAGCCAACAACAATATCTATCAGAAGTAGGTATAAGGCAGCAAGCCCAGTGGCGGTGTCAGCCTCCCCAGGCTGGTGGTAAGAATAGGGGACAGACTGACTTAGAGGGGGGGGGGGGGGGG